CGCCACCTTTGCCTTTACCTTTGCCTTGGCATCCAGCATCTTCAAGCATCTCTAGTATACCACCACCTCTATACCCTCTGCATCTTGAAATCTTAGTGTAATCATCGTAATGTATAGTTGTTCGTTTGGTGGCCATATTTTAGAGGGATCCCCTTCACCCCTCCTTCATCACAAATTAGAAGCAGCAGCTAGCGACACGAGTACACACCTTTTTCACATGGCTCTGGCTGTGGCTCTCCTCCAACTTAATTTATATGCTCAAGTGGCTGTGGCCATTTTTCTTCAGCAAGAGTGAAGCCAGCTCTTCTTGCCTCACATTTTCACCACGCAACCTCTGGCGCTGTCGCTTTTCCTGCATACACAATTATTACCGTGTTAATTTTGTCATTATGATTTTCGTTTTTTTTGTCTGCGTCTGCGGGGCTTCCAGGGTCTTATGACCCGAAGCCGCAAATAGTTTCATGTTTAGTCCCGAAAATTATGGCGAGTTGGCGTTTAAGTGCTGCTACAGTTGCTGCCATTGCCACTGCCACTGCCAGTGCCAAGGCAATAGTGAAATGGCTTGGTATGGCATGGCATGGCGGCGAAAACAATACTTTGGCTTGGCAGTATGTGCTCCCTTTATGGCCGCAAAGTATGCCATATAAAAGACGCTAGTCAAAGCTGGCAGCTGGCAGCTGAAAGGATCTTTTCTTATGAATGAAACTGTTTGCATACAGAGCAGCAGGCACCAAAGAGTCGCCCAGCAGTTGGAAATCAATAAGAAATGAGGCACAGAGTGAAAATAAATCACTTAAAAGTTGCTAGCAAAAGTTCAGGTCATGTATATTTGTGGCAGGCACGCGCCGAGGCAGTTTCCTGTGAGCTGCAGCAGCCATACGTTTTGTTGCCTTCTTTCCTTCCACAATAAACTGCAGGCGAAGTGTGGTGCTAGAGTACGGCCGAATGGAGGGTATGTGTGTGCGCTGGTGGTGGTCGGTCAGTGTCTGGCCACAGGCGAGTCCACAGCTAGACATTAAGCAACCGCAAGGATTAGGACGAGGACGATCCATGGCATAGCATGGCCGGTCGGAGTGAGAGAACTTTACATCAGGGAACAATGTTAAGAAAATTGCTGCAAATAAACTGCAGCATCACCCTCCCATCTCCTCCATCTGATGTCTGCCCCCTCCGTGTATCCATGTCATTCATGCCTCACTTACTTTGTCCTTTTGATGTGTTCTGTGCAGTCCAGTCCTTCCCCCTCCTGGCTGTTAGGCATTTTGAATGTGCCAAAGAGGAGGGAAAAACTTTGTGCGAAAATCCTTTTCCTAACGGACTTCTCTGCTAACAGACTGCCAACGGCTCTCAGACTCTCATCATCATCATTGTCTTGAGAGTCTTGAGTTGGGTACAAGAGAATATCAACGACTGGATCTTTGCCAAGACCGCTTTGATTTCGTGCTTCATTTCGTCTAATCAAAACTTTTGCCAAACTCTCTCTATCTCTCTCCCTCTTTCGCTCGCTCTCTCTCTCTTTTAGCAACAACAAAATCTGCAGCATTTAGTTGCTTGGCATTTGCTTGTCAGCTGGCATTTTCTATACCGCTTGCCGCTTTTCTTTTAATTTTCAACTTGGTTTTTATTAACTTTGCAAAGAATTTTATGCTAAATGGAGAATTTCCTTGGAATTTACACTTTCCCCATCTTGGCCTTTCATTTTCCATCGCCCTCTTTTCCAATCTCTTTTTTCATTTTTCTTTTCTCCTTTTGTGTGTTATTTTTGGCTTCACACTGCCCACAGGAGACGACTTCTTGTATAATTTCCTCATTTCCAAAAAAAACAAAGGGAAAAGGAACAACAAGGCAGGTGCTTTCGCAGGACAATTGAACCGCTTCGATTGCTGTGTATCCATTTTTGTTTTTTTCCGGTTTTACAAACAGAACGAAGGGAACGTTGTGAGTTGCTGTTGCGAGCGCAACTCTACATTTATACCCGATACAAAGAGATAAAAAATCAGTCAGAATGAGTCGTCGGACGCTGCGTAGCCACTGCACTGATTTGTTCCTTTTGGTTATAATAATAATCCGATTTGATCTAGATTTGGTAATGTGGTAGATATGGTCATTCGTTCTAATTTTCTCGTGGGCGCCACAGAAGTCTGGATACAAAATCTCGTTGCTCTACCTCGTATAGTCTCTGAGCACTAGCCGCTCATAGGGACGGAAAGACGGACGGACGGCCAAACGGACAGACAGACATGACTGAATCGACTCGGCTATTGATGCTGATTAAGAATATATATACTTTATGGGGTCGGAAATGATTCCTTCTGGACGTTACAATCGTCCATTTTCACCACAAATCTAATATACCCCTATATTCATTTTGAGTATCGGGTATAAACACAGCAGGAAAGCGCAGCCACAGGAAGTGGCGCAGAAATCAGCCAGGCGATCAAAAGCATTTAAAGGGCTTTTTAATTAAAAAGTTTTGTTTGTCCATCCCAGCCTTCCCCCCTTCCACTCAACCAACTAAACAAGCAACCAAAAGTTTGTTGTTTCTTCATGAATCCTGTTTGAAAAATAGCTTCAACGATCTGTTCAGCTCAGAAGGATCGCACGTCCTTCTGCATTACATACTTGTACGAACATGTTGGACAACAATGGTTATAATCAGATAATTATACAAGGGATGGTTTGACACTGCTATGAGAGTACTTGCGGTTGTTGAAGTCTACCTGCCCACAGTTTCCCCGCGGAGTAATTCGCTATTTATGTGCCGCTATAGCTGTGAACAAAAATTCGACTGTTAACCCGACTATGGATCAAAGTCCTAACAAAAACCCGATATGCATATGTAATACGATATTATAAAAATTAGGCTGCAAAATATTTGCAACACCAGCATCGTCGGCTTCTTCCGAAAGAATTTTTTCCCTAGCAAGCAACCAATTTGCAAAAGAGAAGCTCCTTTTTAGGCAACGACGGCATGGTCAAAAAAATTATGTTTTTGAATAAAAGTTTTCTGGTTTTGCTGTGTTGTGCATCTAAATCATTTTCTGGGAATTGGACTCACACATGCTTTTTTTGACAGCTCGACTGGATCATGACTCTAGCTCAAACATGAGAATGTTGACAATCTGTTTTTGTAGACAGTGTGAAATATTGATCGTGTGCGAGTAGCACATGATTCAGTTGTTCGAGATGGGATCATTTTTTTTTTACTCTGTACTCATGCTGGGCTCTATGTATATGCAATTAAAAAACCTTTTCATTTCGCCTCCTCAATTTTAATTTTCAATTTGAAATTTTCAATTTCATTTGCTTTTGTTGAATTTCATTATTTGGTGTATTTTTAAATTTATAGTGCCGCAATGTACATTGCATATTGTCGCATGCCGGCATCCCGCATCCGGCACCCCGAATGCCGCATGCTGCTGCATGGTCAAGTAATTATAAAATCACAAATGGCACAAATAAAATAAAATTAAGCATAAATTACGAGGCATCTGTCTGTGACAGGATGGAGGGGGACAGACACAACCAGAAACAGAATCCGAATCTGAATCTGTCTCTGAATCTGGATCTGATTTATATATTCATTAATTAACGAGGGGGAACGTTGTGAGTTGCTGCGGACACCGCAACTCTACAGTTATACCCGATACTAAGTCAGTATGGCTCTCCTCCGGCAGGCGCCGCTAATATTAAACGACACGACAAAGAGTGCGTGCGAGAGAGACAGAAAATCAGTCTGAGCGTGATGTCACGCGCTGCGTAGCCACTGCAAATTGATTTGTTTCCTTTGGCTATAAAAATGATCTGATCTGATTCAGATTCAGCAATCTGATAGATATGGTCGTTATCTATGATTCTGCGTTTTTAGTTTTCTCAAATCTGCAATATTGTGGATGCAACAGATTTTCGTTCTTTGTGTGGGCGGAAGGGGGTGGGGCGAAATTTTGAGATAAAGGTTTTATAGTGAGATCTAACAGAAGTGCGGATACCAAATTTGGTTACTCTAGCTTTAATAGTCTCTGAGATTTGTGAATATCCCCAGATTTGCATCCTTTGCGGGGGCGGAAGGGGGTGTGGCGAAATTTTGAAACAAACTCGTCTCGGTCCGATATATTAGGAGTGTGGATACCAAATTTGGTTACTCTAGCTTTTATAGTCTCTGAGATCTAGGCGCTAATGTTTTACTCTAAGCAAAGCCGCCTATGCTACCTGTGTGTTAGAGAGAGACAGGGCGAGAAAAAATGAAATTGTTTTCTTGATGCTGGCTATAATAGTATTACGATCCAATTCAGATTCTGCAGTCTAAAAGATATGCTCATTCTCTACGATTCTGCGTTTTTTGTTTCTCGTATCTTTAAAATTGTGGATGCCACAGATTTTCGCCCTTTGTGGGGGCGGAAGTGGGCGGGGCAAAGTTTTGAAATATTTTTGTAGCAGTGACATATCACAGAAGTCTGGATCCAAAACATCGTTGCTCTAGCTCTTATAGTCTTTCAGCATTAGGCGCTGAAGGGGACGGACAGACGGACAGACGGACGGACGGACAGACGGACAGACGGAAAGACAGACATGGCTCCATCGACTCGGCTATTGATGCTGATCAAGAATATATATTTTTTTATGGGGTCGGAAACGATTCCTTCTGGACGTTACACACATCCACTTTTACCACAAATCTAATATACCCCAATACTCATTTTGAGTATCGGGTATAAAAATGGAAGTGTCGCTACCCTTGGCACTTGGCTTGGTCCATTCGTCCTTGCCACTTACCTTCTTCATGAATGTCATCACGTTGGTTGGCAACATTTTGACAGCCTGTTTCTCTCGTTTCTCTTTCCCTCTGTGTGATTCTCTGTGTGTGTTTAAAGTTCAATTAATCACGCATACGCAGTGTGTACGCTGTATTCTTTTGGTTGCTGAATGCTTTTGTTGTTCAATGAACACTCGTAAGCCGCTCTAAGTCATTCCAAATTGAATGGTTCTTTTATATGGTTTGCTTCTGCTGCTGCTTGTTGCTGTTGCTCGTGGCTTTGGGCCATATTGTTGTGCTGTGTGTTCGCTTTGCTCGTTATGCCTTTCAATTTGATGGCCATTTTTCATTGGCCATGTAAATAGTAGGCATTGACATTGCGATTGGATTTTTGCACACACATTCAATGCAGCCTCTACATATTTTGGCTCTCTCTCTCTCTGTCTTTTTTTGGCGCTCTTTGTCTTTGTCGCTCTCTCTTGTTATGATTGATTTATGGCTCCCGCTTTCCCTGGTTTAAGCCTCACTTATGTGCCGTATTTTTTGTGCTTTTAATTAACTTTTGGCCATAATTCAAAACTGTTGTTATTATTTGCGTTGCGTCCTCCTGCAGCTGTGTGCGCGCCAACAACAAAAACATGAAAATATACACAGAACAAGCAGAAAATTATAATTAGTCATTAGGCCAAAGGCACAAAAAAGGGGGGAGAGATACGTTGGTGTACAGGGAGAGAAAGTTTCGCTTAAAGTATAACCGTAATGGGCATCACCGGCTCACACCGTACTTAAGTTCGTCCCATAAATTTGCCTACGATAAGCATCGGTCCCAGTCCCAGCCCAACCTCCAGCCACAGCAGTACAGCCCCTTTGAAACCCCCCATCATTCACACGCACATGAAAGCCGCGCTGCGCCGAAAGTGTGGCTGAACAGTCAAGCGGAGAATGATTTTAAGGCGAAAATAATGTGTCAGTGTGTCAGTGCTTGCGTCGCCTGATGGCATGCAAAGAAAGTCCTTTCGGGGTGCCCTCTAGACTGACCTGCTTTCTATGCCGAAAGGAGAAAAACTCCCAAAAAACTGATTTTCAGCCAACGTTTTTTATGCCCAGAGTTTTTTTTAGATGTTATATGTTACTTTTACTCACCATAGAGTTCCTGAAACAATAGAATATATTTAGTATATCCCTGCATAGATTATGCATCTGCCATGGAAATCATCGATTTGCAGAGAATAGCCATAACTGAAGCACTGCTTTCACTCTCCTCCACTCATCATAGCCCGAACTAAGCTCTGAGCGGAGCTGCTGATGTGTGGGTGGGTCGGGTCGTTGGTTGCTTTGTTGAATCCTTAAGCTCCTCTTCATTTGTGCCCCTCGAATCAGAAAGCTTTGCAAAGAGCTTATCGGCCATTCACTGCAGCTCATTGCGGGAGCTAGTCAGCGTTAAAAGGGGGGGAACAAAAACAGGGAACAGAAACGACTGCAGTTCATTGCGGGAGAGAAGTGCGAATGGGTGAACGAAGAGTCTTAGAGTGGAGTCATGTGGCTTTTGGATTTTCCGCCAGGAAATGGAATTATTAAATGAAATGACCCACAAACGCAATTCAATTGTCGAAAGTTTCGCTCGATTGCAGTTCCACTGGAGTTGCCTCTGCCACATGCTATGGGGCAATCATTTGCAATTCCCATTTGTTGTTGGCAGTTTGTTGAGTCATATAGAAATAAGGGACTATGCTGAGGGATTCATTGTGTGGACGCAGTCATTCAAGTTTCTAGTTGGAAAACTTTGGTCAAGTCTCGTCTCGTTTCGTCTCTCTTCCTAGCCCTAGCCCTTACCCTATCTCTCGTTGAAACATTGAAAAAGTTTATAAAAACTCATTGAAGTGCACTTCCGAGAGTTTTCCGCCTCGGATTGGAAGGATAATTGCACGGGGGCGTGGGGGTTGCGGGGATGATATGTGGAAATATGCTTACGCCAAATAAAACTCCTGACTTGCTAAATGAGCGCAGCACAGAGAGTGAAGCAGAGGAAAAATGTTCAATTGTATTTGGGAGAGGGGAGGGGGAAAATGAAAATTAATTGCCGCTTGAGGCTGTCAAAATGCCAGGCAACAGCAAAACAGTAAACAGCAACAGCAACATTGCATTACATGCAGCCAAATCACGGGGAAACGCGATGATTTTCGGTGGAAGATGTACGACCAAGAGCAGAAGGATGAGCAGGAGAAACAGGGTTACAAGTGTTTGTCCGGGGACCACGACCGTGGGTATGGCTCTGCAGACAGGTTTGCATAAATGTGCTCATAAATTGTAACTTTTCCATTGCGGCTGCTGCTTCTTCTGTTGCCGCTGTTGTTGGTGTTGGTAACGAGCGTGAGATCACATCAACACACATAAAAACACAGAGTGCCAGTTCCAGACCCAGAAAGAAGGAGAATGTTGCTCAAAGCAGGAGGCTGCTATTTGCAGCAGGCTGCTTATGCTGGCAAATTTCCAGGCTGTCAAAAACTTGGCGCCTGCCTGTAGCTGGCACACAGTTAATTAGCGCGAAATTGGGGAGCCCAAATCCAAAACCAACGAGGGGGAACGTTGTGAATTGCTGCGTACACCGCAACTCTACATTTATACCCGATACTTAGTCAGTATGGTACTCCTCCGGCAGACGCCGCTAATATTGAACGACACGACAAAGAGTGTGTGCGGGAGAGACAGAAAATCAGTCTGAGTGTGACGTCGGGCGCTGCGTAGCCACTGCAAATTGATTTGTTCCTTTTGGCTATATAAATAATCTGATCTGATCCAGCAATCTGATAGATATGATCATTATCTATGATTCTGCGTTTTTAGTTTTCTCGTATCCTCAATATTGGGGATGCAACAGATTTTCGTCCTTTGTGGTGGCGGAAGGGGGTGGGGCGAAGTTTTGAGATATACGTTTTATAGTGAGATCTAACAGGAGTGCGGATACCAAATTTGGTTACTCTAGCCTTAATAGTCTCTGAGATTTGTGAATATCCCCAGATATTCATTCTTTGCGCGGGCGGAAGGGGGTGTGGCGAAATTTTGAAACAATCTCGTCTCGGTCCGATATATTAGGAGTGTGGATACCAAATTTGGTTGCTCTAGCTTTTATAGTCTCTGACATCTAGGCGCTAATGTTTTACTCTAATTAAAGCCGGTTATGCTACGTGTGTGTTAGAGAGAGACAGGGCGAGAAAAAGTGAAATTGTTTTCTTGATGCAGTCTAAAAGATATGGTCATTCTTTATGATTCTGGTTTTATCGTATCTTTAAAAATGTGCATGCCACAGATTTTCGCCTTTTGTGGGGGCGGAAGTTGGTGGGGCAAAGTTTTGAAATATTTTTGTAGCAGTGACATATCACAGAATTCTGGATCCAAAACATCGTTGCTCTAGCTCTTATAGTCTTTGAGCACTAGGCGCTGAAGGGGACTGACAGACGGACAGACAGACAAGGCTCAATCGACTCGGCTATTGATGCTGATCAAGAATATATTTTATGGGGTCGGAAACGATTCCTTCTGGACGTTACACACATCCATTTTCACCACAAATCTAATATACCCCAATACTCATTTTGAGTATCGCGTATAAAAACACGGGAACTCACAGACCGTACCCTGGGGGACATATCGCATATCGCATATCGCCTTCGTCTCTTGCATGCTAATGAAAGTGAAAACTGATCAGAATTCCATTAGCGTTAAAGTTCCAATACGGGCTTTAAATAACGTACACCAAGATTTATCACACGCTCCACAGAGACAACCCAAACAAGACATAGAAAAACCCCCTGAAATCGAAATGTTTGAAAATACTTGTCAAATAACAAGTGTCGCTTCTCCACTTTTCCTTTTGTATTATTTTTCCGGTTAATTTATGTCACTCATTTATGTCACTACTCATGTCACGGAACTGACTATCAGAGTGAATTGTTGTGCCGGAACATGTGGGTGTGTGTTTGTGAGTGTTTATGTGTATGTAGGGTGCACGACAAAAGCTGCAAAAGCAATTCTTCACAAAAATGAAGCGCAATAGCGAGCGCGTGGCAAAACCGAGGAAAAAAACTCCAGAAACAGCAGCAACAGGAACAGAAGAAGCACCAGCCTCTCCAATTGCAGTTAAGAAATCGCAACGCAGTTCGTAAATAAAACCGGACAGCAGGGTGCCCGTGTCCTTGTCCATGCAGAAGGAGTAATTGTGATGATTCTGATGCTGATGATGATGCTGGGGCAAAACCTCAACCTCATTAATGGGGCATGAATGAAGCGTTGTCAACAAAGCCAAATGATAGGGGGAGGGTGGAGGACTCTTGGGAGTGTTCCACCGACCAACCCTTAACCCTCAACCATGTCCCCTGTTGCTGCCTGGTTGATTGTTGCCTTGTTAACACCCACAACATTTTTGCAGCTATTGCTGTTGCCGTTGCAGCTGTTGCTTCTGTGTGTGTGTGTGTGTATCTGTTTAAATTTATCTGTAGATCAAGCCACAAACGAATGCCACTTACTCCACTTGCTGTTGCCTTCTGAGATGACATGCAAGAAAAGGGGGTTTGCCACTTGAGAAAATTTTAGAAGATTATCGATCTGGAAGGGGAAATGAATTTGCCTAAGCGGCAGGCAGTGAAAAAAACTTTAAGAGGAAATTAAGCAGTGACTGAGTCCCGATACGCTCCACCACTCTACACTCAGCATTGTTTGGGACATTTAATGAACCTGCGACCACGTACGGTTTTGCTTTCAGCCCCTGGAATTCGAGTGGTGGCAAACGGACTCTCGCTGTCACCGCCGTTTCTAGCTAATTGACAGAGACGGGGCTTACATGATCTCTCTCTTTCTCTGTCTCTCTATCTCTCTCTAATTGCTGTGAATAAACACAAGTGGGAGGAAATGTCATAGCGTGGCATGGCATAGCATGTTGTGGGCTGACCGAACAGATTGCTGTCTGATTCTCATTCTAATTCCAACTCAAAGAACAAATGCTGTTCGACTCAGACTCTGACTCTTCGAATCCCATTGCTATTGCCATTTCCATTTACAATTTCCCTTTAGCAAAAACAATCCCATTCCCATTCAGGACACGTACCAACCAGCAACCAAATGAAATAAAACTACGCCCACCATCATCACCGCCCATCTCCACTATCTTGCTTTGTTGTTGTTGAAGATGAAGAGGAAGAAGAAGAAGATGAACTGTAATACAAACAAAGGCAGCTGGCAATCGTTTAAACTGCCGCCAAACTCAATTATTCAAATGGGCGTGGAGAAGGCGTGGCAATGCCACGACGCCACAACGCGCGGCAGAAACACATGTGCCCCAAGTGCCACTCGCTTTGCGGTTTGCAATTTGACATTTAATCAAAGCGAAAACCTAACCAAAATGCCACTCAGTGTTGCATGCCTCGATATCCATTCAAGTACCGTTTTTGCGGTCTGTCTCTCTCTCTCTCTTTGTCTGTCTTTCGTGCTTGACGCGTTATCTTCTGAATCCATGCCTCCTGTTGTTGCCTCCTGCTGTTGCCTGACTTTCATCTTAATTGAAATCAAATCAAAGTATTTTCACTCACCAAATGGAATTGTCTGTTGCCTGGCTCTTGG